TGGACACCTTAGTAGAACCACCGACGTTCTGTAAGCTAGCTGGATAGCTTCCTCACATGAAAGAATCCAAAGTCCCTGTCGGGATGCGAACCCACAGCGGTGAGGGGCAAGTGGTTTGAAGTCAGCGACCTTAACCACATGGCCACGGAAGCTCCTATTAATAATCAATGTGACTATCAGAAATTTCTATAAACATCGAAAGTATCGGTTACAATCAATTCTTAAAAAGCGTGGGGCAGTCCTTTTAATAATTCAGGTAGATTTATATTGTATCATAAATACTTTTTATTTTCAATAATTGGTCAATCACCACTATAAGAGACGATATATCAGACAAAATAAATTACTAATTTAGCTCAATGTGACAGCGAAAAATGAGCATAATGTCACCTTTACTGTCATTTTAATCCTAATCAAGTTGACAGCATATCTTGTATCATCTTACAACTCGGATCGAGGAAGATCTGACAAATTTATAAACAAAAGGATATCAGCTCTAGTAGGTGGTACTTCTACTCGTATATTTTTACCCCCGTCGATCACCTCCGATTCCAAGTACATCTTAGTTAACAGTCTAGCCATCTTATCTCCTTCTATACTGAAAAAGCAATTTACAAAAATGTTATTTGAATCTAACAAAATCTATATTGTTAACCAAACTTTACTTGATTACAGTGATACAGTGGTCAGGTATCAATGAGTTATAGAAATTTCGTGAACCTTTTTCAATGGAAAATATATTCGAGATAAATTGTATACCCATTCATTTACAGTGTGTTTAACTGTGGAAGCGGGGTACAAGTTAAAACTTTGAAAATAAGCACACCAAGTTGTCTATGGTAGTACACCTGTCACATTATCAATGATTTTGTTTTAATTACAGGAGTTACCTCCCTTTTGTTCATATGTAACTTTCTGTTACTTTCATTTTTAATATACTCTGTCGATGCAACCCAACTTTTAAGTTTTCTATCCAAAAACTCAGAAATATAATTCAATGAAATCAAAACATCTCATTTTGAAATGTTAACACTACTATTCTTCACTGATTTTTTGAAAATTTTGATCTACAAGCTTATTTTGATTTTATTGTGCCATTACAACTGTGACACATAAATGATGGCCCCCTATATTCTTTCGGACGGACGGTTCAATTACTTTTATGCTGGGTCATAAAAACACTACAATTGTAAGTAAGACCTCGAATATCACCAAACTTACTTTATGCCCACTTTTTTGTTGATTTCCTCAACATTTACCACTTCATGTCTGTAGGCAAGTTCCTGCAAGTACAAAAAAAAATATTCCTATACAAAATGCCTACGATTAGCAAATTTTAATAAATACGAGATCTAAGAATTGCAAAAGATATTCCCATATCAAGAAAGTGTTTATAGTAATAGAATATTATAATAACAATAATAGAATTAGAGCTAAGTAGAGTTAAACTTACAAAGATAACCATTCCAAGAAATTGTTTAAAATAAGGTTGGAGTGAAAATTTCTAAGGGAAACTTCGATATTCAATTTCAATGATTAACAGGAAAATTCGGAAATGAAAAGCAACGCCAACAGTTCAACAAGGTCAGTAAGACAGCCAGATTGGTCTTTAAAGGCTAATTATGCCTCAGAATGCTTTCATTTTTATTTCTCAAAAGCTTTTTAATTTTGGTGTACTTTTATAGCATTTAAAATGTTTCTCTTTGCCGCCTTTTTCATCTGTTGCCTTTTTGGCAATAAGTAGAGTTATAGTGAATAAGTATTTTGTGCGAAAGTCAAATCACTACTTTTGCTACTTTTATGACAAATAATTTCACATTTATCGCTACTTCCTTCAGTTAACAAGCATTTCACACTCTCTAAAACCATTTTTTCAAACATTATAAAATTCATGATTGCCACATCACCTTTAAAACATCATTCAAGGACAGATGTCCATGTAAAAGTCTTAAAATAGATCTTCTGAAACTAATTGTGATTAACCTTTGCCACCAGTATAGAGCCTGGTCAGACTGTACAGATGGTGTTATACTGTTGATAGCTTAACTTCAGTGATTTCTTACCGAAATCTGTCGAACTTTGAATGGACTTCTCCAAATTGAAAGCTACACAAATCTATTTCACAAAATCATATGGGTCTATGGGTTAATGGGTTACACAAGGCACTTTTATTAAGTGAGATGAAGCATGATAGGAAAAGACCAAATGGCAACTAAAGGTGCTCTTTTAAAATGACACACTAGCAATAATGGGGGGGGGGGGGGTTTAATCCAAAAAAAATTACAAATTGGAATGAGCAGATATATCTTTAAAATGGCACTAAAAAGCCTTAAATGGGTTACTTTCAAACCAACTATTTGACAATAATGTTTTTTAAAAGGGTTGTTTTCAAACTGACAATAATAGGGTTGTTATTTAACTGGAACTGTTTTATTTTCAAAACGTCAATCTGGTAATAGGTTTATCTTTAAACAGACACTGGCAATAATCAGGATTATCTTATAAATGACAAAGTGATAATAATATGGTTATTTTTAAAGGAACTCCACTGAGGTCCAAAGGACTAAAAACATAAAATTTGAATTTCTAATGGCACTTAAAAAAGTAAAGTATGCCAAAAATTATTACACAATATACCCGTACATAAACTGAAAATCATATTTCTTTGCTATTCCTAGCTAGATTGGGGTGAAAAAGCATTGTTACGATTTTCAATTTTTGGTTATTTTTCACAATTAAAATAATTATTCAGGAAAAAAGCAAACAGCTAATGATCTGAAATTTTGCAAACAAGTTATTGGTCTAACCCAAAATCAGATGGAACATTATTCTCAAAAATTTATTTCTAGTCCCAGCATATCAAAAACCTCAGTGGAGTGCCTTTAAATCATCTCAACTTACAGGATAAACAACTGTAGTACCGTCTGGCTGTATGACTTCGGCTTGCTCTATCCTAAAAAATAAATGCATACCATACATCATAACAACCGGATCTCTGTGGCCATGTGGGCATGTTCATTGATTTTAAACTGCTTGCACATGAAGGCTATGGGTTTGAATCTCATCATGGACTTTATAGAGAATATCAAATCAGCGTTGATTTAATACTAAATGTATTGAAGGAGTTGAATAAAACCGTATTACATGAACCTCTGGTGCATGTTAGAATGAAGTCAGAGGCACGCATGATATGATTTTATTTAACTTGTTCAATGAATATAGTATTGAATCTACACAAATATGACTGAGCCAGTGCAATAGGTTGGAAGTTCTCCTTAACAGCATTATAAGGCACAAAGCTCTAGCCCAAGGGAAAAAGTCCCTAGAGACCCACACGGCATGGTTGTATTTTTGGACCTGCAATTTGTTCATAGACAAATAATACACTTGATCACAATTTGTTCATTTAAAAATTATGCACTTGATTGCCCTATCTGTTTGATAGGGGAATAGTGTGAAGGGTGTTAGAATTGTGTATATCACAAATGACCTCATGTCAGTGTTATTATACTCGTGTATTATTGTTTTTATTAAATGGGTTCATTACACTCCTGAAAATTGAAAAATTTCAAACAATAACTATCAACTAAAAGTAACTACCATGATAATTTTACACAAGTGAAAGTAGAAATTCCAGAATTGGAGAATTCACAAATACTAAACCAGGCAAATTTGTCCGAAATGTTGATTTTGCAAAAAAAATTTGGCTTCAAGAAAAAATTACTATAATACTCACACAAAAGGTTCCTCACAATATTGTCCGAACATGGTAACGATGGTGTCCAGCACTATCTTAGCCTTCGTCAGATCTGTTGCCGTGCATTCTATAAACACATTCTTGGTCTCTAGGGTGATCTTTGTATGCTCACCTGAAATGGAAATGTTTGCTTGGTTTTCACGCTAATTTAAACACCATTGGTTTCATTTCTGCAGACTGGTTCAACCTATTCGGCTTTCTCGGATAACTAACCAGTAATTACCAATTTCTCCGTTAAATGGTACATTAATTAACTCACATGATTTCTGAATCACAATATTCATACAGAGAAGTTTGTTTATGTATTACAAAATTACATTTATGCCCCAAACTCAGGAATTAAATACTTTTTAAGGTCTTTTTTTATAGGTCAGATAAATTTTTTAATTTAAGGTCATTTTAAGGCCTCTACTTTATTTCAAAGGACTTTTAAAGGCTTCACAAGCCTCAGACTACAGAGAATAGAATGAGCGTATAACAATATAACAAAAATTCTTACCATTAATGATAGGAGGCATGGACAAAACAACTCCATTTTTATCATAGATTACCGGGTAGACTGGTTTATCTTGGATGATAGGTAAATACGCCTTAAGATGACTGTCACCCTAAATTATTATGAAAATACAATACGATTTTTAATCATCTACAATACAATCAGTAATGATATACACATTATTGTTTGAATTCAAGTCACAACAGAACTCAAGTTTCCAGTAAAACTGGTGGAGGAAAACAAAAAATTTCCCTCTATGCCTTATTTCTGGCACCAAAGCAGCCCTAAAGAAGAATCACATGCCTTGGCAATTCCAAAACCCATAGCCCCCACTGTTCCCTTGGGTTGGCCGAGTTGGACAGAGAGGTGATTAAGCTTCACAAATGACAAGGTGTGTCAAAAATAGCAATGATGCTAACATTTTTTACGTCTACCAATCTAATTACCATGTTAAAGGTTCTAACCAAACATACTAGAAGAATTCTTCAATTTTTTAAATATTTTCAACTTTTCTTATCTTGTCATAAAAAAACAAAGCTAATGTTTAAAACAAAAAAATTAAAACTTTCTAAAAATCTGGATAAAGTGTGATCCCTTGGAAGCATTAATCACAACAAACTCTGTTAATACTAATTTCATTTTCTGGTTAATGAATTTTATGATCGGTTTATGGCTTTAACCGGCCAAATGGATAAACACAACTACCTTACAAATGACTGAAGAATAAAAGAGTAAATTGCTCGGCCATTGTTCAGACTTACGGAGTAAAGTTTCATCAGTTCTACAGCTGTCATTTCTTGTGTTTGATTCAATGCCTTGAACTTGATATCTGCTGGTGGTTTAGCATCATATATGAATGGTCCTTGTATGGTGTCAAGGTCGTGCGTTCCTATGGCAACCAATTTTCTCACCCTAAAACAAGCAATAATATCTTTGAAGACAGTGATGGAAGCATCTTGTCACCGTTTTTGCACCAAAATGCCACCAACGGGTAGACGTCCATGGAAAAGTTACACATCTTTAAATATCACATATGGTACATAGTCACTACAAGTTTTCATTTAGCCTGGTTTACAATCATTTAGCCTGGTTTACTATCATTTAGCCTGGTTTACAATCATTTAGTCTGGTTTACAGTCATTTAAACCTAGGGGTCATCTACTAATCATGACTAACCTCCATACCAAATATGAAGACTGTGGGTCAAAGGAATCTCAAGTTATTGGACGGACCACCCTGCCAAATCTGAGGTTACTAAGCCAGTGCATTGCTAAGATATGTATTCTCCATGCTTCAAATGTGAAAATTTTAAAATCAAGTTTTTTTAGTCAAGGCCCCTGTGACCTTGACCTTTGACCCCGTGACCTCAAAATCAATTATAGTCTTCTTCTAATCATGACTAACCTCCATGCCAAATATGAAGACTGTGGGCCAAAGGAATCTCAAGTTATTGGGTGGACAAGCTTTTTAAAGTCGAGGCCCCTGTGACCTTGACATTTGACCCAGTGACCCAAAATCAATAGGGGTCATCTACTAATCATGACTAACCTCCATGCCAAATATGAAGACTGTGGATCAAAGGAATCTCAAGTTATTGGGCGGACAAGGTTTTTTTAGTCAAGGCCCCTGTGACCTTGACCTTAGACCCAGTGACCTCAAAATCAATATGGGTCATCTACTAATCATGACTAACCTCCATGCCAAATATGAACACTGTGGGCCAAAGGAATCTCAAGTTATTGGGCGGATAAGCTTTTTAAAGTGAAGGCCTCTGTGACCTTGACCTTTGACCCAGTGACCGCAAAATCAATAGGGGTCATCTACTAATCATGACTAACCTCCATGCCAAATATGAACACTGTGGGCCAAAGGAATCTCAAGTTATTGGGCGGATAAGCTTTTTAAAGTGAAGGCCTCTGTGACCTTGACCTTTGACCCAGTGACCGCAAAATCAATAGGGGTCATCTACTAATCATGACTAACCTCCATGCCAAATATGAAGACTGTGGGCCAAAAGAATCTTAAGTTATTGGGCGGACAAGGAAAAACCGACGGACGGACGGGGAGACGTCCAGCAGGACGGACAAGCCGATTCCAGTATACCCGCCTTACAACTTCGTTGTGCGGGGGTATAATAAGTAACTACTTTTTTTAGATGTCATTCATTCCATAATGTTTTTATGTTGCTATTTTCATTTATGTGGCTAAAAAGAACAATAAAAAGATGAATACAGTAGCCACATAAGTACCATCTTGTTAGAACCTCAGTAAGCAACCAGATACAACTTTTTTACATATATTTTGGAGGCCGAGGGACTTTGAGTTTTAGGTCACACCATCATTGCATTTTATTATGTTGGGTTTTATTGACAAAGAAGAGGTCACACACACTGTGACCTTCGTGCTTTATATGGAGTAAAGACCTTCTACAAGCAGGTACATAAATAGAACCATCTAACATCCATCAAAGTTCCTGTCGAGATTTGTACCCGCAGTAATGAGGGACAAGTGATTTAAAATCTGAGACCTTAACCACACAAGGACTGGGTGGTGGAAAACACTGATGACCCACACATGATCATGCAGACACATTTGGGCAACCTAGAATTACACTCAACATTATGCAAGATAAAAGCACATGTACCTAGGTAGAATCCCATATTAAAATTAACCCCCATAGTATGATTGAAACAAAGATAGGAAATGAACGCAAAATTATTTTTTTATTATCTACTTTTCTACTGTTCTACTTTTTTAACCCCAAATTTTGAAGTGCTACATTTTAACACCAAATTATACCTTTATGGAAGAGAACCCCTTTTTGTTGCATATATTTAAATGTTACCTTATAAAGACTACAAATTGTTTACCTACCTGCATATATTTTGATGCAGTTTATCTTGAAGGTCTATGAAGCTTTTGTACCTATCCTGAAAATAAATCAATGATCAAAAATCTTGCTCATCTTTAAGTGACATTATGCTCATCCAAGAGTAAATAGTGAGTGGTCTGGTAAAATTAAAATAACTTTTGGTTATAATTATTTGTTTTCAATCTTATAATAAACTTTACCGGAGTAATAAATAATCCCCAATCCATGACCAACACAAATATATTATATTATAAATAATATTATATATTATTAAATATTATATTATAAATATCCATCAGAAACTGTGGGTTATGTTCAATTTATAAAAAAAGAGTGGGACAGTCTTTTTATATTTAAGGCAGTTTTTATATTTCATCCTAAACATATGTAATTATAATTTACATGTATTGTTCAATGGCTATTAAAAGAGTCAATCTTTTGAAATACACACCAAATTTACCTAAAATTGACACATGAAAAATTGGGCATAATGTCACTTTAAAACACAATTTCATTAATTTAAAACTGAAAACTGCTGTGCAATTATGAACAAAGCTTTGCCACTTATATTAAAGCCAGGCTAGTCGGCATCCAAATATGTGCAATCATACATTATATAAAGGGAGATAATTATAGAGATATAAGAAGTTACTTAACTTGCCCTATTTTTTTTAGATTGTAATTTTCAAACTTTTTCTTTATTTTGGTTTGGTATCATGTCGCACCAACTCTGTAGAGGTCATGTGGCCTCTTTCCACCTTAACTGGTAATGGAAGATGTTTGGGTACCCCTACATGCATTATTTCTGGCATGAACGGGCACCTGAGTAATACCACAGATGTTCTATAAACTAGCTTGATAGCTTCCTCACATGAAAGAATCCAATCCTCATGGCAGGATTCAGACCAACAACGGTGAGCCCCAAGCGGTTTGAGGACAACGTTCTTAAATGCTCAGTACTAAAGTTCAATTAAAAATTTAATAAGAGGACATAATTACATGTAGTTATATTGAGAGCTAACCAAGATAAAAAGAAAGGCTGCTTCCAATACAGAGTTGCTTACCTTGATCTATTTATAACAGAATCATGTTTGAGCTCCTTGATGATATAGATGTTGAACAAAATGGAGAACTATGACTTATAAATCACATACCTCGGTAAATTTAATATTTCTCAGTACAGCGGCCACGGCAAATGGACGTACTTGACCAGTCTGAAAATCAAACAACTGGCTCTGTTATGCACTATCTTACTTACATGTAACAACTTTACAAGTAAAACTTTAAATACAAACAAGAACATAAATTCAGATAAACAATATTTCATAGATTTATTGGTGAGCGAATTACACAATGAAAACTTGTTTAAAAGTTTGCAACTGAAAATCTTGTATCACTGCAAATTTCTTTATAAAATCTTAAAACCTCCTGTCTTTAACACTTTACATTTGTTATCCTTACTCAGTATCACACTGAAATTTTGTTTATGAATCATACAACCTAACATCAAGTCACACAGAAATTTTTTTTTATGAATCTTACAACCCAACATCAAGTTAGGCAAATAATATTTTGGATCATATGCAGGGTTTTACGGGACGCAGAATTTTGCGTCCCTATACGCATAAATTTTGACATGTACGCATATAAGTTATCCACTTGCGTCCAAGTGTACGCACAAAAAATAATCCTAGACAATAGATATTATTGTTTCTGGCCCGACATGATTTTATCTCTTTCTTCTCGAAGCTCACAAAATTCCATTTAAATCTAATACAGCGAGCAGAAAATGCTTGCATTGTTTATTTTGGAAGTTAACATAATTGAAATCTACTGCGCATGCTCTTTGCAAGTGCCCGCTGCAGAAACTGATGACGTTTATCGTGCAAGCTACAGTAAACTGATGACGTTTACCGTAAAATCTATTTTAGGTAGCTGTTTTTGGTTTTTCTGTTGCTATATTTTAGACGGACTATTTATTACAAGCAATTACTATTGGTTAGCGTATCCAATGTCGATTGCGAATGTATTTTGTACATGAACGGCGATAATAAAAAAGGCAGTGCTTTTTGCAAACTTATTTTCATAGTGTTATAAGAAATTAAGTCACTGGGTTATGTTATTATCGTTGGTGTTATAAATATAATGGTTCGGCGAACTTAACTTTTGACTGGGACATCAAGTATGCCCCAGCTTATGAGGAGGTGCAAAAGCGGTTTCGTCAGCCTTTTGTTATATGATATTTTTAAAAACGCAACATATTTAGCTGACTGGTCTGTAAAGTTATATATTGTGTGTTTACAAGTTCAGCTAAAATATTTACAAATAGATCAGTACAAATTTTCAGTCTGTTGGTGTAATCACCTTATCAATAACAAAATATGCTACTAAAACTTGACATTCCAGCCACTCAAAGACTTATAAGCCTTGGAAATAGCACAAAGGGCTACTAAAGGGCTATAAAAAACCTAGTGATAAAAGATATTGAAATCATATACTTCTAATTATGAAAACAGTACAATTTACATGCAAATCTCTTACAGGGTAAATAAATGATTTTAAGCAAAATAGAGTGGTCTTCATAGTCTTTTATAGTGAAAATAATTTTGGACCCCTAAAATTCAGGCCTGGACCCCTACTTTTCTAGGCTGTGCATCCACTGGACCCCTAAAATTTCAAAGAGATGTAAAACCCTGATATGTATAAAATAATTTGAAAATTCACCAAAAAAATCAGTTATTTATTGCTGTTTCCATTTTTTATCAATTATATATAAAATATTATGAAAATGGCTGCAAATTTTAGCAAGGGAGGTAAAAATTGGGAACTTTCAATAGTTTATTTTGATTGACAAGAATCATCATAGTATAAACTTACGGCTGGCAGAATCTTAAGCTGCTGTCTGGCACCAGATGTGGGTGCCACAGACTTATACCGTGGAGCCTTCAACCTAAAAAAATATATCATTGAATTAATCACGATCAAATTTTTGGAATAAATGAGTGGCCAACTGCATGTACGTGTATATAGTCTGCTTCCAAATTAACAAAACTGTTGACAATATTTGCTACTGTTCCTTTAATTCCCTAAAAAATGTAAAAATTTCTTCCAAATCAGCCCATTTGACTTTTATGAAAAACACATTTTTTGCTAACAAGTGTCTGGAAAAAAAGGTTTAAAAACTGTACAGATCACTGAACAATATATATCTAAATGTAATACATATGCTATATATCCCAATATAATACCTATGCTGTACATTACAATGTAATAAATTTGCTGTTTATCCCAAAGTAATATACATGCTGAATATTACAATGTAATAAATATGCTGTATATTACAATGTAATACATATGCTGTATATTACAATGTAATAAATGTGCTGTATATTACAATGTAATACATATGCTGTATATTACAATGTAATAAATGTGCTGTATATCACAATGTAATAAATTTGCTGTATATCACAATATAATACATATGCTGTTTATCCCAATGTAATACATATGCTGTATATTACAATGTAATACATATGCTGTATATTACAATGTAATAAATTTGCTGTATATCACAATATAATACATATGCTGTTTATCCCAATGTAATACACATGTTGTATATTACAATGTAATAAATATGCTGTATATTACAATGTAATACATATGCTGTATATTACAATGTAATACATATGCTGTATATGACAATGTAATAAATGTGCTGTATATTACAATGTAATACATTTGCTGTATATTACAATGTAATAAATGTGCTATATATCACAATGTAATAAATTTGCTGTATATCACAATATAATACATATGCTGTTTATCCCAATGTAATACACATGCTGTATATTACAATGTAATAAATATGCTGTATATTACAATGTAATACATATGCTGTATATTACAATGTAATACATATGCTGTATATTACAATGTAATAAATGTGCTGTATATCACAATGTAATAAATTTGCTGTATATCACAATATAATACATATGCTGTTTATCCCAATGTAATACACATGCTGTATATTACAATGTAAAAAATATGCTGTATATTACAATGTAATACATATGCTGTATATTACAATGTAATACATATGCTGTATATTACAATGTAATAAATGTGCTGTATATCACAATGTAATAAATTTGCTGTATATCACAATATAATACATATGCTGTTTATCCCAATGTAATGCACATGCTGTATATTACAATGTAATAAATATGTTGTATATTACAATGTAATACATATGCTGTATATTACAATGTAATACATATGCTGTATATTACAATGTAATAAATGTGCTGTATATCACAATGTAATACATATGCTGTATATCACAATGTAATACATATGTTGTATATCATAATGTCATACATATGCTGTATTTCACAATGTAATACACATGCTGTATATTAAAATGTAATAAATGTGCTGTATTTCACAATGTAATACACATGCTGTATATTACAATGTAATAAATGTGCTGTATATCACAATGTAATACATATGCTGTATATCACAATGTAATACATATGCTGTATATCCCAATGTAATACATATGCTGTATATCCCAATGTAATACATATGCTGTATATCCCAATGTAATACATATGCTGTATATACCAATGTAATACATATGCTGTATATCCCAATGTAATACATATGCTGTATATCCCAATGTAATACATATGCTGTATATTACAATGTAATAAATATGCTGTATATTACAATGTTATACATATGCTGTATATCACAATGTAATACATATGCTATATATCCCAATGTAATACATATGCTGTATATCCCAATGTAATATATATGCTGTATATCCCAATGTAATACATATGCTGTATATCACAATGTAATACATATGCTGTATATCCCAATGTAATACATATGCTGTATATTACAATGTAATACATATGCTGTATATCATAATGTTATACATGTGCTGTATATTTCAATGTTATAAATGTACTGTATATCACAATGTAATACACATGCTGTATATTACAATGTAATACATATGCTGTATATTACAATGTAATACATATGCTGTATATTATAATGTAATACATATGCTGTACATCACAATGTAATACATATGCTGTATATCCCAATGTAATACATATGCTGTATATCACAATGTAATACATATGCTGTATATTACAATGTAATACATATGCTGTATATTACAATCTTATAAATGTGCTGTATATCACAATGAAATACATATGCTGTATATCACAATGTAATACATGTGCTGTATATTACAATGTTATAAATGTGCTGTATATCACAATGTAATACATATGCTGTATATTACAATGTAATACATATGCTGTATATCACAATGTAATACATATGCTGTATATCCCAATGTAATACATATGCTGTATATTACAATGTAATACATATGCTGTATATCATAATGTTATATATGTGCTGTATATTTCAATGTTATAAATGTGCTGTATATCACAATGTAATACACATGCTGTATATTACAATGTAATACATATGCTGTATATTACAATGTAATACATATGCTGTATATTATAATGTAATACATATGCTGTATATCACAATGTAATACATATGCTGTATATCCCAATGTAATACATATGCTGTATATCACAATGTAATACATATGCTGTATATTACAATGTAATACATATGCTGTATATTACAATGTTATAAATGTGCTGTATATCACAATGAAATACATATGCTGTATATCACAATGTAATACATGTGCTGTATATTACAATGTTATAAATGTGCTGTATATCACAATGTAATACATATGCTGTATATTACAATGTAATACATATGCTGTATATCACAATGTAATACATATGCTGTATATCACAATGTAATACATATGCTGTATATCACTTTGTTATACATATGCTGTATATCTCAATGTAATACATATTCTGTATATCACAATGTAATACATATGCTGTATATCACAATGTTATACATATGCTGTATATCCCAATATAATACAAATGCTGTATATCGCAATGTAATACATATGCTGTATATCACAATGTACTTCATATGTTGTATATCATAATGTAATACTTAATGCTATATTTCACAATGTTATACATATGCTGTATATCGCAATGTAATACATATGCTGTATATCATAATGTAATACATATGCTGTATATAGCAATGTAATACATATGCTGTATATCATAATGTAATACATATGCTGTATAGCGCAATGTAATACACATGCTGTATATCACAATGTAATACATATGATGTATATCATAATGTAATACCTATTGCTGTATATCACAATGTTATACATATGCTGTATATCACAATGTAATACATATGTTGTATATCACAATGTAATACATATGCTGTATATAACAATGTCATACATATGCTGTATATCACAATGAAATACATATGCTGTATGTAAAAATGTAATACATATGCTGTATATCACAATGAAATACATATGCTGTATATGACAATGTAATACATATGCTGTATATCACAATGTTATACATATGCTGTATATCACAATGAAATACATATGCTGTATATCACAATGTAATACATATGCTGTATATGACAATGTAATACATATGCTGTATGTAAAAGTGTAATACATATGCTGTATATCACAATGAAATAGATATGATGTATATCACTTTGTTTGTTTGTTTGTTTGTTTCATTTTACGCCTTATTCCAACAGTATTTCAGTCATATAGGCGGGTAGTTTCCTAACCATCGTTCCTGGAGAGTTACACCAGTACTAGACAACCTTCCTCCGCGCTAAACTACCAAAGCATCTCCCGGGGATCGAACCCACGCCAGAGAGGTAACTGGATTAGAAGTCATCGACTCTAACCACTCGACCACGGAGGCGGTTACATATCACTTTGTCAAACATATGTTTGTATACCTATGTAATACATATGCTGTACATTACTATGCAGTTAAACACTACACAAGAGTACATGCATCTATTATACTTGTATGTTTTTGTTTAAAAGAAAAAATAAAAGATCACTTTTGTACTTCACACAAATTGAATACTTGTCTTAATTGGTAGAACAACACCACAGGCCAATGGTTAATTTATCATTTTAAAACCACTTACCTTTCCAAGAAAACAAGGAGAGCTCTTCCGATCCCTTCAATACAAAGCAAGTCGTATCTAAAAATAAACAACAGATTGCTTTTATATACAAATATATCTACAAATAAAGTGTTCATCTATAACAGTTATAAACGGTTTACATGAAATTTCGAGTTTTGTCATACATAAAATAGTATAAATAGTAACAAATTTGAATAAGATACTATCACTAGGTTTGTTTGTTTGTTTCATTTTACGCCTTTTCCCAACAGTATTTCAGTCATATAGACGTGACTGTGCAATTTATGAAAACAAGATATGACAATAATTAATGAGTAGATATCTATTTCTTTTTTGTCATTGTCAAGTTTTAAGCCGCACAGACTCTGCAACTTTCCAGCTTTTATGACATAGAAAAGATGTTTGTGCCTGAATATGAATACTTTTCCGCAAATGCAAAATGGCTGCCTATGCAACAGATTGGATAAAAAGATACCGCAGAATAAATCTCCAGTTACTATTTCCCATTACATTACATGTATGTCCAAGATGAAATAGAAGGAAAAACGAGGAGAAAAATAAAACAACTTCCTCCTATAAATATTTGCCAAATAAAAACTAAGTATCTTCAGCCCCCATTTATGTGTAAAAATATGGTAAGAGAAAAAACATCATTCTCCACAGCTTCTTAACTATAATAACCATACCTGTTGGCTGGAACCTCAATCTTGTAAGTAACCTCAGTAATGTCCCCTTGGCCTTCCTCATCCTCCTACAATAATAACAGGAGGAAAACAAAAATTTCAACACAATAATACATGTATATAAACAGTATCACATAACAAAATCGTGCAATAACATAATAAGTGCTACTAACATGTCTAAATTTAAAAGAAGTTATTCAGTTATTGCACTTAGGTGACTAAATGTCAACCCTTAACCAGATGAAATTCTACAATGTACTTGTTATGCTTCCAGGGCTGTTTTCCCACCCTCTAGCAGGGGCTGTTTAAGGGCGGTTTCCCCAAAGAAAAATTCTTCAAAATCATGCTGTTTTCCCCAAAAATTTAATCTATATCAAGACAGCAGCTGACTTATAATAAATTTAGCTACTTGATAAATAAATCAAATTCCAACAACTGAGAAAGGAATTTACCCGCATATTTTATAAAATTTTCTATTTCAATTCAATTCAACATGCATGGTGCATAGCAGAGACTATAGAAGCAGCTTTCTGTTTTCTAGCGGATACAAGTCAGCTGCTGTACTTTAGTATGGTACTGGTGAAGAATGTGCACAGGGCATTTTTGGGAGATATTACCATTTTTAGGGGCAATTATACCTATTTAGGGCTACAGGAAACAGCCTTTATTGGACTGTAGAATACAGAGAAAGAAAACTCTGAGTAATACTTACAGCCATCTCTGCTTCAAACCAAACCCCAAAACATATTTTTAAAACCCCTTTTCAATTTTTCTAAAAAAAGATAAATTTTCAAATTGGAAAGAAACAAACATGAAAACCATGTGATAAATAATGGCAATGACAGTTACAAGCTCCTTCACAGGGGTGTCATTATGACCCCAGCGTTCGAATTTAGCAATATTTTCTACTAGCATTTTTGCAATAACTGGCAATATAAGGTAGTCAACTGGCATTTCCATGATTGCCTATATTATCTTATTATAACTTAATATAATATACATTGACAATTTGTATTAAACTTTGAACATATCATGGTATGACAAATGAAAACTGCATGTCTATTGAATGTCAGAAACATCTTTACCCTAGCGGCTAGTAAACAAAGTTCTCTTCTTGTATTAATGAAACATAAACAGTTTAAACAATTTAACACATAATTTAACCCTTTACCTCATATAGACGTATTTTGACGACCTTTTGACCCCTCCCCCTCTTTTGAGGCCTCAAACAGTGAAAAGTTATGGGAAATGTTGTTTAAAAAAGTGATCACTTTTTCGGCGCCGCCCCTATCAAAAAGTTACATCAGGGGGTTGCCAGACGGGGGATGTGGCTATTCAAAGAACATATCAAAGACCCCGCTGACTTTTAAGTTGATGCAAACATAACAGTATCGAGCCATTTACTTGTAATTTATATGCTAGTAAATTTACAGTGTCACATTGCGTGTAGTTACTACCAAATACGTTTGGACAAATTCAGAGTGTAACTTTTTCATCTCCCTGTTTTAAAGGGGCTACACTGAGGTCTGACGGGTAATTTGGTGTCCAAAAAAATGTATACAAATTTCCCGACAAATCACAATATTATGACTAAAATAACAATAACTTACACTTTAACCAACCCTCTAACGACAATTATGCTAGAAAATGCATATTCACATTAGCTTTTGATGCAAAAATGAAAGTTGGTTTTCCCAGACATGTACAGAAGTTACCCACAATTCATCGGGTATAACTAAAATACGCAACGGACATTTTTGGAACAACAGAGTAAACGGGGGTAAAATTGATTTTTTCTCAACTCTCTAACCTATCATGTTTATATAACTTGAGTATAACGAAGAAAAACTGTATAAAAGATGATCAAGGTAGCAATTTCGTTGTCTTGAAAAATCAAACGCCAGCGAAGCGGTCATTTTCTAGACAAAACGGAAAGATATTATATACATGTACAATTATTTTCATTGACATTTCAGTTTCAATTTCAATATTCTAAGGCAAACATAATGCATCGGTGATATTTATACTAAAACGAGCACAGTGTAATCACACAAATAAAAGTATTTAACGCTATCTATAACGTATTTAAATCAAATACAGTTAATGACATGTCTCATTTGATTTGATTGTTTGTATTTGGGATGGAGTGGGGGTTACGTCACACAAAACTGTGTAGGTCATTTTGGCGACTCTTCAGTTTTACTGGTGGAGAAAGAACTCAGGTGCCCCCTTTGCAAAATTGTTTCTGGCACAAACGGGCATCTATGAATGTAATGAGTGACGTTTCGTAGGCTATCTTGATAGTATCGTACATACACGTTCCACACACAATTACATCATATTCATACCATAGGCAAAATTAAATGCACGTTTCCTATTGTAACAATATGAAACCCCAGAAAAAAACCTATGAACTAGCTTCTGAATGTGGCATTTCTATCGTTATTCCATAAAAGCACCCCCCCCCCCCCCAAAAAAAAAAAAGAATGAATACATCAATGGGCATGCTCTGGAGTGTTGGTATTTATTACCTGCACTCCTGTTACGCACTGTGCATGTATATGAATTCTATTTAACTCTGACACGTTTTCAACAGAAAAGTCTTCAAACTATGATACAATAAATATTTATGATTCTATTAGAAACTTGTTTAGAATTTAATGATTTTTTGGTGAAAACGATATAGTTTACTTGTACTACAGATAAGATCAAAGTGCTGAAGGCACTGAAGAAAAAACGGATAAACTATCACATTTTCACTCCAGTTTCACAGGTAAATTAATTGTATATGTCGCGGTTTACATCTAAATATCAACTAACCTTTGCTTTTTGAGACTTTTGTTTTTGAAAATAATCTAAACGAGTAAAATAAATCCTCTTTTATAGGCAAATAATTTAATAAGTAGCATCCCCGATTTCTCTTTCATAAATTGGCTTTAGCAAATTCTTTTCTATTCAAATATTAAGAACATTCTGTCAGTGACGTGTCCTCTACTTGAAATCTTCCTGGTGTGTTTTTTTCGGTAACAGGAAGAAAATGACAGTCTGTTCGTATCATTCGGTAACAGGAAGAAAATGACAGTCTGTTCATTTGATCTTGACTGTGAAAAATCATGTTTTGTGAACCAATTTATCCTGCCGATAAAGATTTTGCAAGCAATCTGGTGGTTTATGTTCTAATGCTTACACTTAATTTTTAATTCCAAAGAACATTTCTTAGGAGACCTTTAACGTTTGATTACGGTATAATCACTATAATCGAAATACTTAGGAATTAATTTTAATTCCTGTTACTGTGAAATTTTTCGTTCACGTGTTTAAATACTTAAGTAGCTTTAAAATTTTCAAAACGATATCCAGTATTTCCGAAACAATTTACAAAGGCTTTTAATACACAATCTTATGAATCTTAAAGTATTACGAGAACCACCCATTTAATCTCCAGAAATACATACGAAAAACAAGATAAATCAAAAGGCTGCAAGCTCTGTGGTATTTTCTGATCTTTGCAATATAAATCGCACTGTACAACTGTATTATTTTCCTGTATAAGTTTATTTTTATGTACTATAATTCTTCTTGCTTGGTACCAGAGTTTGAAACATTTTGCATGACTAGAGTTGCATCAAAAATCATTTATGTTCATTTTTATGACAGCCACACTTTATCCTTGCATATCGTGGCTATTTCCTTAACAAAGAAACTTTATAAAAAATAATTGCCTTGAATTGGATTTGAACCCCAGACACACTAAACGAGCGCGTTACCCTTGCACCACGGAGAAGATATACGAACAATGCCTGAATAAAATCAAGTAATACTAAATTTAGATTTTTCACTGCATTTCGGGTTAATTTCGAGGTTTTTTGTTCAAGATAAACCTGTTCTTTAACATAGATGTAAATAATTTAACAAAAATCTTCTCGCCAAAACAGTCCGACATGTATATATTCCACTACTTGACAGTCAGATTTATTTGTGAAATAAGCTCTCGACATCGCTTAAAATAGCATTTTCATTGATTAAAATGATATTCATCCGCGTAATTTGTGAATGTGCATTCATTGACAATTCTATAAGCCAAAGCTACTTTTAAACTTTGAATGCGTTGTAATTTGTTGGATACTTATAACAAAATGAAAATATTTATTTCTTTTAAATCGGTAGTTTTCAGGTGTTTTAAAAACTGTTTGTTGTTAGTTTTGTCGTGAAACCGCTGTGTCAGAGATCGAATGTTAGCTTTGTATTTCCTAATCTTCGATCAGAAATACAAAAAGGAATGGTAACATTCAATGAATACAACACCCACACGACCAAGCAAAACAGGACCACAGCTAAATTATCAATGAAAACATTAATTTCAGGCTTTCAAGTGGTAAATAAAAAGAATAAACAACAAAAATGAAAAACAGGAAGAAAGAAGAGACAAAAGTAGAGAAAAGTAAAGGTTTTCGTGCTATAAAGAAAGAAAAGCAGCGTTCTCTCCCTAACTTATTTATGCAATGAAATGCATCCGATCAATATTTAGCCATTGTAGTTTTTGAAACCAGTCACTCGTGTTTTTAAAATAGTCGGGAAATGAACCCGACTTTTTTTATCGGAACATTTACAAAACTATTAACAATGAGTATGCCATGATAAACCGGCTATAAGGAGTAAAAACAATGGTTTATATATGCATTGCCCTTTACCGTCTAGGAGTTGGAAGTATTATAAAACATAGTTTAAGCAATGGTTGTTGTATGAGGTGAGGTTAATAATATCTTACTGAATTCTTAAAGTTACTTTTACTTACCTGCCCTTCACATTTGTCTTGCTGCATCATGATTTTGTTTGTTTCGTTTAATTTGAAAGAAAGTTAGGGTTTAAAAAACAACAACTATATAATCAGTTTTAAGTTTATTTCACTAGTCACGGCAATAACCCTGCTGTGGAAGCTTGACTATGTCGGGGGCTGCGTCATGTGAACGTTGCCGTCGCCTTGATTGTCTTTATTCCAGTTTTCCTTTTTTACTCTTATAACGCTCTCAATTTCTTTTCCACCGGGAAGCTTTCAATATATTGGTCACATTAAAGCACAGCTCAATTGACCCATCACTAGTACGGAGGCCTTCCAATAAGAAAAAATTTATCAGGATATCTGCTAAATCAATAATGATAATAATAATATTAATAGAGCCAGATTGTAACTCTTTTCCGACCGTCTTGATAATGTTTACCATGTGCATGAAACAGGTATCAATTACCTATAGTTTTGAATGTCTAGATCAAAACATAGTAATCTTTTGATCAACAAAGTTTACATCCAATGCGGATAAATATGCAAGTATGTATGTAAAATGATAAATATTAAATTTCAGATCTATCTAGCAAAGGAGATCGATTTTTTCTTAAAGAATTTTAATTATGTGCACTAGACATACATTAGAAATATTATCTAATAAAGTTGAAGCCTAAATGTCCTATAATGAGGCCGGATTCATTCTCTATTTAGCCAGTGCTTTCAGTGCTTTGATCAGAGTTAAAGAGAAAATTCTGGAATAACATTCTGTGTGTGCGTGTGATTTTTTATGCTTACAATACTCAAATTCATGTTCATTGTATAAAAGGTATTACGAAGGTTTTTTTCCTGAACGGGTGTCAGATAAACCAAAGTGACCTTTGAAATAGGACCCATTACACTGATTGACAAAGTAAATTTTCTTAGCCTAGATATCATGATATTTTAACCATTACAAAGTTAATACATAATATTTAATAATTACACGAAAGCTCTCAAATTAACATAGAATATTTGTAAAATTTGTGTATGTCAGTTTCGAACTCCGTACGTTTAGCTAAATTCATCATTGTAATGGAGAAAAAAGCATGATTACAACAATGTAATGCTTTAAATATATTGAAATTGCTTTTGAAAGATTTTTCTCACAAGAACATATGTGAACAACAAGAAATTTAACAAACAAACCCATAATTTGCTTTTAAATTTATGGATTGTTGGTATATTCCGGTTTCGCACTTTCGTTGCTGCCGATACACAAAAAATTCTCCGTTTCGCTTTTTAGTCATCCCAAGAATCATCACGTGACCGTTGTTTTTATTCAGATTTGGAAACTGAAAGGTGTTTAAACGCTTTTCCCACAAAATTGGAGAAAATATGCATTTCAAACGACTTGCCAATCCAAAGAACACATATCAATGTATCACTGATTCTGTTTGAATGTCCCTAACTCGCAGGTAACAAAAAAATATCGGTTCGTGAAATTTTACTTTTTTTTGTGACATTCGGCCGTACCTCAGTGGAGTACCTTTAACATATTAATTGTGCATAATTAATTGCAATATTTATATTGGTGAATTAGTTGACAATATGTCCGATTGAGCTGCATATCATGTCACACAAATGTGTAAATTACATTCAATTATTAACACTCACGTTTTACTTATGCCTGGAGGCAAGGATTAAATTTATTGTCAAGCACTGTATGATATGTTAAGAACTGTCTATGCAGTAAGTAAATAAGCGCGGGAAGTTGATTTAATACCTTTGATGTGCAAATTCAACGAAGTTTATTTAGTTTAGGCAACTTAATCAGGCTGGTGAAAATGCCCAATCGGGCTTATCATCAGTGATGACATTAAAAATCATATTTCTGGAAAATGAATAAAGAGATTTCTTTGAAACTTTGTCATATATTATGCTCAATATACAAACAAAGTTTAAAAGAAATATCTTTCTTATTTTATCTAGAAATATGATTTTTTATGTCACAAGCCAGATCGGGCATTTTCACCAGCCTGTTAATTGCCCAGTTGCTAGACCCCTGGTCTAAGGGATGAAGTGTCTTGTTCCCATTCAACAAAACCACTTTCACTGGTCAGCATAATTATAAATTTCATAAATTTTATCAGGGGAGGCTTTTATGAAGAGGTTTTATAAATAGATACTAAAATAGCAGATGCTGATGCAACATTTACAAAACTGACACCAGCTGTCAGATACACTTTTTAGAAAAAAAATGAAAACGGACTAACTATAGCTCCTGCCAAGAACCTTGAAAAGTTCTTCCCTATTTACTAAAACTGTTGGCATAGTGATTCCCTACACCAATTTCCAGATATACCAAAATTAATACAAAATATAAGAAAAATTCTCTAGTCTGTCAGCCGGCGAACACGTTTGATAGTCACTTCCGGGTATTGATTTTTGTAACTTCTTCTGAAGAGTAAGGTTAAATACCACTAAAAATATCGTCCCAAAGAAATTTAGCGTCCCGAAGCATTATTTTTAATAAAACAATCAAAAGGGTTATATTTTTTGTAAATGAGCTATATTATGAGATTTATGGTAAAAAAACAACTTAATTGACATTTTTCTAATTATATAAATAAAACTAACCAACCTCTGAGTCCAGTTAACTACTTTAGTGTTAATCTAAACCAAGAATTTTTTTTAAATACTTCGTAAACTTAGTTTATGAATTGGTTCTGTAAGTAATATTAAAGAAAAGGTTTTCATACATAAATTATCAATTTTAAACTCAAAAACAAACATCACTAAGTGACAAATAAACGTCCTGAAGCGTCTGGAAGGTTTTGTATATAAGCAAAGAAAGTATTTACATAAATCGTGATTAAGTTTTTTAATTGTATATGTAAGTAACTTAAATAAGTGGAACATTTTTATCCACAGAATATATATTTTACATCACGAAAACTGACGTTTTACCGTGCCATTTCATGTCAGGCTTACAAAGCGTTCCGAAGCGTCTGGACTTATTTTTTTAATTCAAGGTTAAAGAAAACCATTATTGATTTAAAGATCCTGTAACACAATATTTTCATGGTTTTATTTCATAAATATGATGCTCAAATTAAGATTTGTCAATATTGTAAGTTCCAATAAGCATTATTTATAAAGATACACCCATTTTAACATTTCATGTAAATAAAGGGAGGTAATTAGAAATTTCTTTTCTATAAATTCCACGTCAAATTTTCCAATAAGAAATACATGCATGTAATTTATTGATTAAATATAATGTGTACAAATATTTGCAGTACACATTTTACATATTCTTCGATGTTTGAAAATTGTTTTATTTGCATAATTATATACATACAGTTTGCATATATTTTTTTGCAAGTGTGGTATACACACAGTAACAATATCAATCACAAAACATACAGGATCTTTAAATATTAGTTTTTTTGCTAAATGACGTTATTCAGGAAGACAGTTTTTCTCTAATAAATATCATTTAATATCCAGAAGACTTAAGTATGTACGTGCGCACACTATCATATTCATAAAATGAGGAAGCGTCCGGAAGATGTCATTTAAACCAAACAAAGATAATAATGAAATAAATTCGTAATTAAGTTTTATAATTGTATGTGTAAGTAGCATAAACAATGAAAAAACTTTTCATCCACAAAATATTATTTAACAGCACAAAAACTGACATTTTACGGCGCCATTTCATGTCGCTCTAACAAAGCGTCCCGAAGTGTCTGGACATTTATACCCTTTGATATGCGAGTATCCTTAAATGCAATTCACGTTTACATGATATGTTTTTGTATGATAACCTAATTGAGTTAATACAGTAAGTCAATTATGGTCAGGGTCTTTAAAATAGACCCTGATATGGCTTATAAAAATAAAGATATCAGTACAAAAAAATCGACCACGTAAGGACTATGCTGTTAGGTTACAGTTTCAATAAAATTATATGTAAATTGCCATATACTTTAATGCATTTACTAAATTATTTCAAGACTTACCAGATGGCGAAAAATAAATATGATTTAAAAAATAAAAACATTGAAGAAATTGGCGACAATCTTGGTCTTGTTTATCTTGTTTTATAAATTTGGTCCTTAGTTTGGCCCAGGTTTTATTGTTATCTGTATTTATATTATTTTTTTATTTGCACTTTTTAATCTGCACTTTCTGTACATTTTGTTAATGTGCAATAGTATTTCAGCCTTGTATGACCAATTAAGTTTTATATGTAACAATGAAAATCATATCAGTATCGTCATTTTGAATGAGTCATCTATAAGTAAGACTTGCCAACACTACCATAGCATTAGCTTGTCTGCAAATTTTCACTTCCAACGGTAAATTTTATACGTAAACATTGGTATCATTGATATGTCAATGGTAAATAAACCAACCAAAATATTTACTTTTAATTAACACACCCAAATTGCCCGAAAACATTGGTACCATTGACACACAAGTGTGAAAGTTTGATAAAAAGATTAATAAATGTTTAACACCCTTTCATGTTTGAAATTTTCAATGAATGTAGATCTAACTAAAAATAAGTCTTGTAATATTTAAAGAAAGACCAGCAGTTAATGCCAAGTGTATATGCAAAGATCTTAAATTTTTGATAAAACGTGAAATTGTGCACTGAGCAAAAGAAACCTTCATTTATATTGCAGATTTTTTTTTAAAAGTCGACTAGAATTTAACAGTATAGTCTTTATTTTCATATTTTTAGTATTATTTTATTTTTTTGGGGGGAGGGGGGGATTGGTGTAGACACTATAAAATGTGCACCTACAATATAATTATCAGAATTAAGATACCATTTAAGTTATTTTCAAGTCAGAATAAACAAAATTTTGGACTCGTACATGTCTATTTCACAGAAAGATTAGTATTAGAGTCACAGTTTTAATAAATGTAATTTAAGTCGTGTTAGGATTAATTAATGCTAGCTTTGTCATTTTGTTTTCAATGCATGTTAACGTAACCAACTGGTCATCAACAAAAAGATACATTTAATCTTTAATAAATTTAACTGTATTCACGTTTACATTTATAGAAAAATATATAATTAATTGTAAATTATGATTATTGGAATAACAGTCCCCTAATTCTAATTCGAATTCATGTTGGTAAAGATCTGTCTTAAAATTGTTCCACTAAACTATCTTTTCCGAAGTCCTTAGTGCTATTTTAGTGCAGTTAGTTCCTCCTTATCAGTCCTTTATGCCTTCTTGGTAACCCTTTTCTGATAGAAAACATAATTTATGACTAAAATTACAGTTTTTAAAATTAAAATACTATTTTTTAGCTTTTAATATACAATATAATTTCTATCATCATTAAGTCTCTAAATGACATTTAAAATATATACTGTATAATTATATAATATAAATATATATATCCATATACTATATGTATTTTTCTACAATTACTTTTTACACTATCATAACAATTTGCCGAGTCCCTGTGCTTGGCAGTCATTTAAATTGTGCCTCCTCAGCAGTCCTTGACAGTGTTTAGTAGGATCCGCAGATCACAACGATAATGTTGAATTTTATTCGTGCTGAAAAAAATCAATTAAAAAATATTATCTTATCTATCGATAATTGTCATTGTCTTCAACGGTAAGATTATCACATAAGTTTCTCTTTGATATTCAGTAATCAAAAGTATGTGAATTTATTACCAGCATGTAATAGCTCAATTTTTGTTTCTTCAAAAGATAATAGATTGAAATATTATGGGTGAAGTAATATTCGGATAAATATGTTTTCGGATAAATATGTTTAATATACAACTCAGGGGCGGCGAAATCAATTGTCCGTATTGCCCAGGTTGTCCCACAGCCTGTCCGGACAAGTGGAAATTTTCTAAAATTTACTATATAAGTATCATACGGACAAGTAATGAAATGCTTTAAGTAAAAACGGACAAGTTAGTCAAAATCAGATTTTGCCGGCCCTGCAACTTGAAATAGCAATAAGAATTCAGATATTTACCACGTATTAGTTTACAGTTTAATTTTAAACTTTACTTTTAGAATTATATAAAAGGGTGCTATAAGTGTTGGATGGCCATTTTTTAAAGAACTGTCACTGATTTGAATTTTGATTTATACTCGGTTCCTATGAGTATGATAGATCTATCACGGGTTCTACGGTATTAACATTTTCTATGACTGCTAGTAAAAGCAACACACCTTGAGGCTTATATTTATAAAACTGGAACAATAAATTCATTTTCATCTGCCAATAAATTAAATTTTGTGAATAATGGATGTATTCGTGAAAAAAAAACTATTTCATGAAATCTTCATTATATATGCTACTAATAAAATAAACAGACTTTATATTTGACTACTTAATAAGTTAATTGTTTTTACACAGTCTATGTTACAATCACATATACTGACATATCGTCTGTTCATATAGTTTGAATATTATAGCAAGTTAACTGTTGGAAGTTTTTCACAACTTAACTTGAAGATTTTGACCAATCTATCCTTCCAGTTTTGGGGACTACAGAAATCATAGTAACCTCCTCTGAAATTACCCAAAATGGCAGACATTGGAAATAGTTTAAAACATGACATCTTAATTGGATCTTTGAAGTTATTTTTTGACAAACAGTTTTGAGAAAAGTTCACTTATTAAATACAGGGATCTCGATTGACACGGGGATCCGGGCTTTGACTCGTGAAAATCGGGAAATGCACAAATTTGACATGTGATAAAATCTGGTCAAGAGTCAATTTGCCACATGGGATTTTCAGCTATGCAATAATAATTACCTTAAATCCACCCCTAATTACCTATCAAATCCTACATATGTTCAAATCACACTCATTAAAAATGTCAACAGGCAGTATAAGCCGTGTATAAAATGCTTTACACACGGCAGTTGTTTATAGCCTGTGCACTGAAGCGCGACAATTCAGTGGCTGCAATTTGACAGCGCTAAAAATAGCTCTACACAACTGATAAGAATTACATACTTGAGGTGTCAATTATTGGTTGCTTTTAAAGGTTTATAATACGTCTTTGATTTACTTGGAGTACCTGTACATTTGTTATTTCTTTTTCCATTAAATATTACTTTTAAAATTAATATGATATAGCATACCAGTAAAGATTTTTTTTTCTTCATATTTTATACATTTAATCAGAAAAGCTGCTGCTTATTTTATTCTTTCACAGCAATTCATTTTTTTTTGTTTTATTTGGGTTTTAGGTGGAGGGGGGCTGGTATAGACATTTATGATTAGACATTTTTTTCTGTCAATTTAGACTTTAGAATCTCCAAAAATGACCTCCAATACAGTCATTTTTGTAACATAAAAATGATTCATGTGGTCAAATGAGTTAATGACACTAGAAAAAAATGATTTGACTCATAAAAAATTTTGGCCAAAGAGTCTTTGACTCGTGAAATTCTGACCCTACTGAGTGCCCTGTAAATAGAAGAAAAATCTCATTCATGCATGATAATTATATTTGAATATTTTACGATAAACATTAAGTACTGTGATATCATAGAATGTGAAAAAAAAATTTTTAATAGATATTAATCAGTTGTTATACTTTTTCTTTGGTAATTGAAAACAGTCCTTTCAGAACTATAATTAATGACACATTGGTGTCAGAAAACTGTAAGATTGCCAAGACTCTTTTTTTTATGAAGTAGCAGAATGGTCTGGTCAAAATATATTGATGTACCAAAGCTAGATTCAGAGATATATTCATTCTTGGTCAGAATCTCACTTTAAAAGGGGTAAGATATTCCCCAGACACAAAATAGCACAGTATCTTGTCGCGCAGTAAAATTAGTTGGACTACAGAATGGTCCATACAGTTTGACTGTATAAATTAACACATACAATGTTATGATGTATAATACAATGTGTATGACATTAAAGGAAAGAAGTATGGGCATTTTCAAAGATGTTAGTTCAACTCCTCCCAAGTTCAACTCCTCACTTGTCAACATTTTATTTAGGTTGTCGCCTAATTTTGGTTAACTCACCCAATTTAGGAGTCAACTTTACTTAGTGCATTTTTTCAAAGACTAGGTGATGGTTAGCGGGAGGAGAAATGACAACTTTAAATATAATAACCAACAAGTATCTTCAATATATATTGTAAGGTTCATTACTCTTTCAGCAATACTTTAATCAAGATTTAACTTTGAATCAAATGATGAAGTTATAAATTTCTTATATTATCATAAACTTATATTATAATCATGAGAAACATTTTGTTTTTAAGGATTAATGCAACAGTCGACGCCTACCAGTAGTGAGTTAAACATGGAGAGCACTGGTACCACACATGCGAATATGAAGCATAATTCGGGCGAATTTCTGTGCCGAATGTGCAATAAATCTTTTGCTTTCAAGAAAAATTATGATGATCATCATATTGTACATGATGTTGAACAAATTTGCGGGCCAGGAGTGGTGCTATCTGTTCAGAATGATGTGTCCCCGGCCAAAAAACTGAAAATACATGCGTGTGACCAGTGTGACAAGTCTTACCATCGCAAAGATCACCTGACTCGTCACAAACTGGAGCATACGGGTGAAAGGCCTCATATATGCATCGTATGCCTGAAATCATTTGTACGGAAGGATAAACTAACCAGGCATGAAAAAATACATTATAAAGATAGCAGGATACAATTTAACTGCCCAGATTGTAACAGGAAGTTCTTGAGAAAGGATTCTATGGAAAAACATAGGAAATCGCATGGCGAGCAGGCCATTAAAGGCAAGCCGAAATGTACATGTGCTGCCAATGCGACGGCAGTTGATAACACTGAATCTGTTAAAAGTGGAGTAGTGTCAAGAGTTAAAAGTGGCGATCTTAAATCTGGAAATGATGTAAACAACAAAAGTGAAAGGATTGGTCAAAGTATTGTTCATGTAACCAGTGGCTGTGCAGTAAGCACAGCAAATATGGTGAACATTGCAAATAGCGTGTTTAGTGCAACTGATGCTGATAATGGTGAGGGAAATACCCATATTGGAAATGCATCAAATGTTTCAAAAAGTGCACATGAAAGTAGTAGTGTTAACAATAGGAATAGCATATACAGTGGGAGTGCTGGCGGGAATACATTAAGCATGTCAAAAAGCGAAGGATATAGCGATAAAAGTGGAAATAGTTTGCACAGTACAGGTGCTTATAAGAGTGACTCGCAAGCTGAGGTTACTGTCAAAAGTGAAATTGAAAATTCTGCAGCCATAGATAGTGCCATGAAGCAGTCCAGATGTGAAGGCAGTGTAGAAAATATGCAGGTTCCACAACCTAGAGGACCAGCTGGCTATTGGTTCGATCCTCGACAGGGTCATGGTCACCCTCATTTTTTCAATCCAGCATCTGGATTTACCCCAGAAATGGACTTGAGGGTGAATTATCATTGTCAGTTAAACTGTAATACAGCTAAAAACTCAAGTGATCATGGATGGTCCAAATGACAGTTCTAATATGTGTGTAATTGCATGTTATTTTTTTTCGTTGTTTTTATTTTTTTAAATGTAAAGTAGAATGAATTAGAGTTGTGGTGCAATATCCAAGGACGTTATTTTGCAGGATTTCTGCATTGAATTTTATTTTTTATTAAAGAGTCCCAGGTATTCCTGAAAAATGAGGGTCACTGGTTTGGTTGTGTACATAATAATACTGATAGAGCCTAGTACATGTATATTGAGATCAATAGTCTTTTAGTATGTCAAGACACTGAAATTTTAAAAATTTATACATTAATGAATGAATGTCATTTAGATCTGCATGGTGTTAGGGCTGTCATTAAAAATATCATCAATATTCAAAAATCAATAAATAATTCACAATTTAGAATATCTATATAATTTAAAATCTTTTTGAAAATATCACTCTTCTTTGTCTCTGGAGAAAGTCACTATTTTCCTTTTTATCCGCCTGTTTTAAAAAAGGGCCGTATCATAGGAACGCCCCTGGAACAGTCCATTCATGGTTTTAATTTTTGGAACTGTCCATTTAATTGGTTCAAGGAAATTCAATGTCATAATCCATGTATAATAACAGTGTAAAGTCTGTTTAGATTAACAATGATTTTATAATTATATATATCTATACATATATATAATTATAATAACATTGTTAAAGGGATATTCAGGCAAAATAATGCAGAAATATTAAAATTATCTTATGTACAAATCACCCCAAAATGACTTTTCTTGGAGTTTCAGCATGAATTTCTATTTAAATTCTATATATTTTGGGTCTGCAGTGTAAATATACCTATATATGTTGAACAAAATTTAGACGCCAATAGAATCTCCATATAGTTTTAAAACCAGTCGGGTGAATTGAACAAACCCTTGAAGTTACAATAACAGATATTGTGGATATTGTATGATTGAAACAAGCCTAAGTTCTTTAACGTTTCCAGGGTTCGTTTTGACAATTATTGTGAAATGCTAGCGCTCTAACCTGACCCACGCGGGTCAAGTTAGGAAACCACCATTTTATTCTTTATATGGAGAAAAGTTTTTTTCCTTTGACTGTCTAATATATTCATTTTGAGGGCATTTACAGAATAATGAAAGAAAAATTCAAAACTAAGAAATGAAAATTTTGCCTGGGTGTCCCTTTAATATTACTGGAATAATTTTTTTACCAAGACCTATGTTACCAATAGTTATTTAGTAACAAGTTAGATGTATTTACTCTGTAAGAAAATGCTATCTAGAATGCTTACTGTCTATGCGAAAACATTGAAACAATTTATTTTATAAATATAAACGAAATATTTTTGAGAAATATTGTTGAAGTAAAATGTGTATTTTCAGTTTCATTCTTTTCACTGTCAAAATTTATTTTTCACTGCAGTGAAAGGAGATATAAAAAAAATGTTGTCAGGATTTTTATTTTTAAAAATGGGGAAAAATAAACTGGAGAGGGCATTGAGACCCTCATACCGAACTTTTGACCTAAAGATCATGAAACGAGGCCCTGAGACTAATATTTTTGTTTGTTTTGTTGGGGTTTTTTTGTTGTTTTTTTTTTTTCATTTAAAAATTAAATAAAAAGATACACTACATGACAGTGTAGCTGAAATGTTTGGTAAGCTGACTTTGAACCACTTTTCTTTAGATGTTTCAGTGGGTTTGAATCCCACCAAGAATGTTGCTTCCTTATATTTGAGGATGCTATCCAGCTAGCAGGTCAGTATTCTTTTCGTTGCCCCGATTGTGTCAGTGTTTTAGGTTTATATACAATGTACACTGGCAATGTGATGTTCAGAAATTTATATCATTGATAGAGCCCAATGTTTGTATTTTATTTGTTACAAAAATGTATATAATAATCATATTGTTGTGTGACTTTATAATATTTTATATTGTAATTTGTAGAGTGGAAGACTTTTTGTTAGTTGATAATGATTTTGTACTGTGTACTTTTTTTTAAAATTTGATACATACTATGTACATGTAAGGTTTTCATAACCTTTTACCAAATATACGTTTGTATCTTGTTAATGTATTTAATTTTAGAAGATATATCATTTAATTAATACACAATATAATTGACAGTCACATAATTGAGCCGTGTCACGACAAAACCAACATAGTGCGTTTGCGACCAGCATGGATCCAGACCAGTCTGCGCATCCGTGCAGTCTGATCCGGATCCATGCTGTTCGCTATCAGTTTCTCTACTTTAATAGATTTGGTAAGCGAACAGCATGGATCCTGATCAGACTGCGCGGATGTGCAGGCTGGTTTGGATCCATGCTGGTCGCAAACCCATTATGTTGGTTTTGTAGTGACGCGGCTCATATGAAGTTGAAATTTTCAAAATATGAAAGTTTTACACTGGGAAACATAGGACATCCTTTATTCTTGTGTCAGAATTCAATGTGGCTGTACATGTACCTGTATTTGTGAAAAGACAATAAAAAACAACTTCATGTGTAAATTTCTTTTTCTTTCTCAAAATCAATTAGTTGTATTTGTAAACTAAAACTACAATGTACATGTATATTGCTTGAACCAAAGGTATCCTATATATATTATTATTAAACAGGGATTTTTTTTTGGCTTATTTTATAGCCGTTATTGGGTCATATTCTCGATTGAAAATAGTATATTATTTTCCCAATTCACAGGAAAAATTCCCAATTGAAAGTTACAAAATAAAAATATTGAATAAAAAATTCTAAAATCTTTTAAAAATAAGGGCTTTTTCAATGTAATAGTGCTTAAATGTTTGAAGATGCCATCCTAGACAGTGATTGTTTGCATTCATTTAATCACTGCAAAATTTCAGTCATACATTTTCCCCCAATTTTTAACAAAACATCGCTAAAATTCCCAATTCCATGGGTATGGGTCATATTCCCAAAATCCCAGAAAAAAATGCCTGATATATCCTAACCTTAGTGCAGTAACGGGTTAACTCCTATGAAATTATATAAGGTGTTAATCCATTACTGCACAAAAGTATACTTAGTCTAGTATATATATTTATGTGTAGATATACTTATTTGAATTGTACATGTATGCATATTCAGCAATTTTCTAACCAATATATGATTTAACCGCAGGTCTTCAGATTTTTCTTACTTGTTTTGAAGTTGGGTCTTGTTCCCAATCTCATCAAAGTTTTATTTTTTTCCCAACTTTAAGGACAAAATTCTCAATTCAAGAAGAAGAAAAAACAAGCAAAATGTAAAGAATATTTAAACTGTGCCCAAGCAAATTGAATTTTTGCATTCTAAATTTGAAAACCCGCTTTTAAGTGAAATATTGAAAAGAGTTTAATGAATCCAGTATTTGATTGTTCTGTTTCATTTGACATGATGTATGATATGGTGTGATTTTTTCCAATTTTGTCTGAAACTGGTGAGAAAAATTTGAGGAGAAAAAACCTGTTACAATGAATATTCTTCTGGTCCTATTACAGGAAGTACTAAGCAAATATATTTTAGGATTTTGTATTATGTTCCATGACAAATCTTAGACAGGTTCTAAATTTAACTGTTTAACATGAGCCTATTTAAATGAAAACTAAAAAAAAGTGTTTTGCATGATGTGCTATTAAATATTTGTAGATGGTACATGTACAGTATAAATATAACTTTATCAAGTAAAATTTTCCTGGAAAGATGGAGGCTAGTTCTTAATTGTCGTTTATTTGTTCTTTTCCTTTATTTTTTTTCTCTGTGTGTGTGCGCGCCTGTGATAAAACACATTAGAACAAGCAACTGTCACAGACTGCCCAATCTCTAACCGAACAGGAGAAAAAGTTATAAAGGGGGTGGGGGGGGGCACCCATTGACATTAAAATACACATTCAAGGGCAATAACTCAAAGAGTACAATGCGAAGATATGTCAATTGAGAGTTTTCCACCAATAAAATTTCAAGCTGGTATCTTAAATATATTTCTAGTTAATATGTCCTGGAAAAAAAATAACAATGAAAATAAATTTTAGAGAAATAACTAAACAAGAGCTGTCACAGGAGACAGCGAAGCTCGACTAATCAAATACTGGACGCAGTAAGGAAGACAAAACTATGAAAGAAAAATCAATTATGTATTAAGTTATAGTAAAAAAAAATCACATTTGTTTTTTAACATAAAATCCAAGTTCAAGGGGGAATAATTCTGGAAATAGTCATGCTAGAGATATGAACCTTGTCACACAACATGTGTGTAATGATAAGAAATGTATATTTGAAGTTTGAAGTAGATTATACTAGATACCTTAAAAAGTAAAGAAGTTATAATATTTCTAAAAGAAAATCCTAAGTTCAAAGAAAGATAAATCTGAAAATATTGCTTCAAGAGTTATGAACCTTGTCACATAAGATGTAATTAATTCCAAGGAATAAATATTTGAAGTTTGAGGTAGATACCTTTATAACCAAAGAAGTTATAGTAACATTTTTCAAGTACAAAAACTTAAGTTTATGGGGAGATAATTCTTGCAATATTGGTGCTAGAGTTATGAACCTTGTCACATAAGATGTGGTTAATGTTAAGGAACATATATGTATGAAGTTGATCCCTTAAGAAACAAAATTAATAAGAAACAGTATTTTTTAAGGAAAATTCTAAGTTCAAGGGGAGATAAATCAGAAAATATTGGTGATAGAGTTATGAACCTTGTCAGATAAGATATGGTTGATGATAAGGAACACATATTTGAAGTATGAAGTTGATCCCATAAGAAATAAGTATCAGTAAACTAGAACTCTGCGAGTCGGATGTGTCGCCTTGTGAACAATGTAGTTTAGGAGAAATGGCCAGGACAAAAATGAAATATGAAAAATAACAAAGGGCAATAACTAAAAGAATAACAAGAGCTGTCAGTAGGACAGCACGCTCGACTATTCTAAGTGCTTGATAGTAAAAGAGCCTTGATAATGTTAAATTTTTTAAGTTCACAAAAGGGCTAATTTTTTTTATAAATTCATGTTAAAGGCCTTAGAGAGAGTCTAATTATACAGTAACAGTATTGGCTTGACTATTCGGAAAGTAATGTCACAAGGGTGTTTTATTGAGTATAACAATACTAATTACCTATGAATACATAAATTTGACAGAAAAGGTACAAAGGCTTATTATTAAGATGTTTTATGAAGTAAATCACTGCTTTATTATTATAAATGCATAAAATTGTCCCGAAAAAGGCACAAACCCTTCAGTAGTTATTGACATAACAGCTTACAAGCAAAACTTTACCATGAATTTCTAAGTTGAAAAAGGGGAGAAAAATCAGCCTAAATGCAAGATAGAATTATAGATCTTTGTCAGTGACCTACAATTATGACCCTAAATGTATGTGTGAAGTTTTAAAGAAATATTTTCAAAAGTTATTGAGATATGCAAAACTTGCATGTAAACATTAACCAAGAGACTAAGTAGAAAAGGGGATATGAATCAGCCTTAATGCAAGATAGAGTTATGGAACTTGGTCAGTGACATACAATTATGACCTTCCAATTATGACCCTAAGTGCATGTGTAAAGTTTCAAGTAAATATCTTTGAAAACCTTTTACTTTTAACCAAAATTTCTAAGTTTCAAAGGGGCAAATAATTCTGCAAATATTGCAGGCAGAGTTATACAATTTTGCAAACTGATGTACATTGTTACCATAAAAAAGTATTTTAAATTTCAATTGAATATCTCAAGCAATAATTGAGATATTTGACTTTACAAAAAAACTTTAACCAAAATTTGTAAGTTCCAAAGGGGCATAATTCTGTCAATATTGTAGGCAGAGTAATCCAACTTGTCAATCTGATGTACATTGTTACTATAAATAAGTATTTTAAGTTTCAATTGAATATCTCAAGCAATAATTGAGATATTTGACTTTACAAAAAACTTTAACCAAATTTCTAAGTTAAAAAGGGGAATAATTTTGTCAATATTGTAGGCAGAGTTATCCAACTTGTCAATCTGATGTACCTTGTTACTATAAATAAGTATTGTAAGTTTTAATTGAATATCTCAAGCAGTAATTGAGATATTTGACTTTACAAAAAACTTTAACCAAAATTTCTAAGTTAAAAAGGGGCATAATTCTGTCAATATTGTAGGCAGAGTTATCCAACTTGTCAATCTCATGTACATTGCTACTATAAATAAGTATTGTAAGTTTCAATTGAATATCTTAAGTAATAATTGAGATATTTGACTTTACAAAAAACTTTAACCAACGCAGACGCCGACGCCGGGGCGACTACAATAGCTCTCATATTCTTCGAATAGTCGAGCTAAAAAGTGCAGAGCAGCAGTTTCTATGCACTGCACTTCTTATCAATAAGATCTATCATTCTATGATGTTTCAAGTCCATAGCTATACTAGAGGAGAAATGACCAGGACAAAAACTAGAACTGCCACTATCTTGGCGTGAATACCCCCGCATACCACTTTGTCAGAATCAACAGTGGCCATTAAGAGCGCAAGGACATTACCTCCCTGCCAAATCTCAGGTTACTAAGCCAGTGCATTGCTAAGTTATGTATTCTACATGCTTCAAATGTGAAAATGTCAAAATCAACACATTGCAGACAGGACATTCTTTAGCAATTGAGAAGAAAAACTTTTTTTTGTCAAGGTCCCTGTGACCTTGAACTTTGACCCAGTGACCTCAAAATCAATAGGGGTCACCTTATAGTCATGATCAACATCCATGCCAAATATGAAGACTGTGGGTCAAAGGAATCATAAGTTAATGTTTGGACAAACTTTTTGAAGTCAAAGTCCCTATGACCTTGACCTTTGATCCAGTGACCTCAAAATCAGAAAGGGGTCATCTACTTATCATGACTAACCTCCATTCCAAATATGAAGACTGTGGGTCATAGGAATCTTAAGTTATTGGATGGACAAACTTTTTGAAGTCAAAGTCCCTGTGACCTTGACCTTTGACCTGGTGACCTCAAAATCAATAGGGGTCATCTACTTATCATGACTAACCTCCATGCCAAATATGACGACTGTAGGTCAAAGGAATCTTAAGTTATTGGGCGGACAAGCTTTTTGAAGTCAAGGCCCCTGTGACCTTGACCTTTGACCTGGTGACCTCAAATTCAATAGGGGTCATCTACTAATCATGACTAACCTCCATGCCAAATATGACGACTGTAGGTCAAAGGAATCTTAAGTTATTGGGCGGACAAGCTTTTTGAAGTCAAGGCCCCTGTGACCTTGACCTTTGACCTGGTGACCTCAAAATCAATAGGGGTCATCTACTAATCATGACTAACCTCCATGCCAAATATGACGAGTGTAGGTCAAAGGAATCTTAAGTTATTGGGCGGACAAGCTTTTTGAAGTCAAGGCCCCTGTGCCCTTGACCTTGGACCTGGTGACCTCAAAATCAATAGGGGTCATCTACTAATCATGACTAACCTCCATGCCAAATATGAAGACGGTGTAGGTCAAAGGAATCTTAAGTTATTGGGCGGACAAGCTTTTTGAAGTCAAGGCCCCTGTGACCTTGACCTTTGGACCTGGTGACCTCAAAATCAATAGGGGTCATCTACTAATCATGACTAACCTCCATGCCAAATATGACGACTGTAGGTCAAAGGAATCTAAAGTTATTGGGCGGACAAGCTTTTTGAAGTCAAGGCCCCTGTGACCTTGACCTTTGACCTGGTGACCTCAAAATCAAAAGGGGTCATCTACTAATCATGACTAACCTCCATGCCAAATATGACGACTGTAGGTCAAAGGAATCTTAAGTTATTGGGCGGACAAGCTTTTTGAAGTCAAGGCCCCTGTGACCTTGACCTTGGACCTAGGTGACCTCAAAATCAATAGGGGTCATCTACTAATCATGACTAACCTCCATGCCAAATATGACGACTGTAGGTCAAAAGAATCTTCAGTTATTGGGCGGACAAGCTTTTTGAAGTCAAGGCCCCTGTGACCTTGACCTTTGACCTGGTGACCTCAAATTCAATAGGGGTCATCTACTAATCATGATTAACCTCCATGCCAAATATGACGACTGTAGGTCAAAGGAATCTTAAGTTATTGGGCGGACAAGCTTTTTGAAGTCAAGGCCCCTGTGACCTTGACCTTTGACCTGGTGACCTCAAAATCAATAGGGGTCATCTACTAATCATGACTAACCTCCATGCCAAATATGACGACTGTAGGTCAAAGGAATGCTTAAGTTATTGGGCGGACAAGCTTTTTGAAGTCAAGGCCCCTGTGACCTTGACCTTGGACCTGGTGACCTCAAAATCAATAGGGGTCATCTACTAATCATGACTAACCTCCATGCCAAATATGACGACTGTAGGTCAAAGGAATCTTAAGTTATTGGGCGGACAAGCTTTTTGAAGTCAAGGCCCCTGTGACTTTGACCTGGTGACCTCAAAATCAATAGGGGTCATCTACTAATCATGACTAACCTCCATGCCAAATATGAAGACTAAGGGTCAAAGGAATCTTAAGTTATTAGGCGGACATGAAAAAACCGACGGACGGCCGGACAGCCGGACGGACGGACGGACAAGCTGATTCCAGTATACCCCCCTTACAACTTTGTTGTGCGGGGGTATAATAAAGTAAGAAAATCAACAAAGGGCAATAACTCAAAAAATAAGAAATGCAGAGGACCGATTCTTGACCACT